GGTGAATGAAGACGGGACTGTGAGTGATTGTGATGAATGAACAGCCCTGGAGGTTGATGAAGGTGAATGAACTACCCCGCCCTCAGGTGAAGGTGCTCCTCGGCCCTCAGCCACGCAGAAGGTGGAGGGCGAGCTAACCTGGCGCACTGCGGACCTTCAGGACAGCAGCCCTCTGAATTATGGAGGTGGTGATGGTGAGGATGCTGGTGTTGATAGTGATGCCAGTGGTGATGGTTGAAATGGTGATGATGGCGAAAATGATGATGATGATGATGATGAAAGGGCCCTCCCACCCCACCTCTCATTTATTTCTCTTCTCATTTTCCCCACGTTCACCTAGAAGAGAGAGAGAGAGAGAGAGAGAGAGAGAGAGAGAGCTAAGTTTCCCCCATACATACACACAGTCTCCCCTCACTATGTATGGCTTATGTAAATACAGCCACAGACATGTTATCAGTGTTATACAGTCGCCATACACCCTTCACTACACTCACTACACCTACACAAGAACCTTCAAAGTACAGGAAATACCTCTGTGTACACATCATAACTCGTGTGTACACCCAGACTGTACAAGAACGTTCACTGGTGTACGTATGATGGCAACAAGTATAGATCCTACTTAGTATAATGATGATGATGATGACAGTAATAATAATGATAAATAATGAAGCTAACTACCGCCTTTTATACCTCCTCCAACTAGTTCAGTCATTATCGATTACCCAGTTAAAGATGATGATGACAATGAAGACTTGATACACGCTAACGACCTCCTGTTTATTGCTGTGTATAATGACCTAACGTAGTGATCATTATACTCTTGGTATTAAACCATCCTTTATTGATTTCCTTAAGTATTATTATTATGATGATGATGATGATGATAATTATTCAGGATCATTATTCATTATCATGGAGTATAATGACTTTAATTTGGTCTCTATTGTGTTAATATTGTGTCATTATTGATCTATTCACGTATGATGATGATGATGACCACTACACTATAACCACTATCACCACCCCTCAATTCATTATCAAACTTCACCTTCAGGATAATGAAAATAATGACATAACACACACACACACACACACATATCTACCTTGTTAATTAAACCCCCAGGTAATAATCAGTCCAGGTCACAGTACACAGGTATAGAGGCCTAATTAGTGACCTACATTATGACGACTTATGGGAAAAATTACCTGAAGTTATTGATTGAACAAAAAATAAATCACATACACTTAAGATACACTTTGTACTCACACGGTTTCAATGTCTTGGTTCATGAAGTGTGATTTCAAGATGGTTTACAACAATATACGTTTACCTATCTACCAGTATGTGTTAAACCATGCCATTAAATATTTATAAACCACCAGGTAAAGGCATAGTTTGGTTTATCAATATATTTCAATAAAAATCACTAAAACACCACCCAGTCGTGGTTTAATATTAGTTTTATCAATCACGGTAATCAACACTGTTTGACTTGGGGTGAAAAAAAACACCATTTTATCAATCAATTCAAGCCACTGTCGTAATGATCACATCACGGGTGTTTAGATACAACCAGGTGTCACTGAGGTTAAACACACACACACATGATACGGTAATTAGTGTGTGTGTGTGGTAACAGATGGTTAAGGGAAACACCTGTCCAATGGTAACACCTGTATCTGCCACACTGCCAGGTTAGACACAGAGCGTAGTAACACACACCCTCACTCACCTAGGCCACCACGACCACTGGCTGGCGGGGCTCAGCTCACTGCTCAGCCCTCACACAGCCTCCACTCACTCCCTCTGCTGAATCTCCTCCTCCTCCTCCTGCGCCCTCCCCAGTCACCACCACTACCACCACCACCACCAGTCTGCTACACCAAGCTTTTTTCCATAGTGGTGTGGCTCTGTTGTGTAGTGGTGTGGCTCTGTTGTGTAGTAGTGTGGCTCTGTTGTGTAGTGGTGTGGCTCTGTTGTGTAGTGGTGTGGCTCTGTTGTGTAGTAGTGTGGCTCTGTTGTGTAGTAGTGTGGCTCTGTTGTGTAGTAGTGTGGCCTGTTGTGTAGTAGTGTGGCTCTGTTGTGTAGTGGTGTGGCTCTGTTGTGTAGTGGTGTGGCCT